TAACCAACTTTTAATTTATTTTTCAGAAAGAAGAGGATCTGGAAATTTAAAAAAAATATTTGCACTAACAAAGGAATAGTACTTTTCATTAAATAAAAAAAATCAAATAATTCATGTGCCGGGTTGTATTCTTATTTTTGGGAACTACATTTGGCTAAGATTGCTGGGAGACTTGTGAATGCAGTAACCATGTGGCATATTACAGTCATGACCTAACAGGAACATTTCCGCATGAGCACTAAAGATGGATGATAAACAGCAGAGCATTTTTGCTCGGAGAAGGGGGAGGGGCATACATGAGGTCTCTTATTTGCATTCAAAACCTTTATGTTCATGCTCATATCTTCTGCAAGATCAAATCATGGCCACGTTCAATATTATTACTAGAGTATATGTTTAAACCAATAAATAAATGTTTACTATGGATTTTAGCCATACAGAAACTATTTTTTAACAAAAAAATCCATTTCATCTCCCAGTAAGGCTTCAAGGCTATGCTAGTATAATTTTCTTCTCAGTGATACAGAAGTATGTTGTCATTTCATTCCAAGGTTTTGTTCAATCATAGGGAATTTCCTTGATTCTCATCCAAGTATTAATCAGGAGAAACCCAGTTTAGCTTTTTTTTTTTTTTTTTTAAGAATTAGCCAAGGCAGTCTCAGTGCTGCCAGCTGCTGCAACATAAGCCATAAAAACTGTAAAACCCTTGACTATATTGGAAAAGATCCTGTTTCAGGCAAATTAAATCAATCCAGTTCTTTCCTTAATGGTAAAAAAAAAACCTATGGCCAACTTAATTGTTTTTAAATATACGGTATCTTAATTGATTCTTGTTTTTACTGGTATTCCTGTAAGCTTTATCCCAAAGGTGTAGTCATATTAAATATAACATTTATCTACAATCAAAAACCAGCTATCATTTCTACATTAAACATATTATGGAAGATAATCAGAAGTATTATCTTACATAAATTAATGGAATATTACTTAAAGGCTATAGAGAGAGTGAAAAGGAAAATAAAATTGTAACAATAAGTCACAAACAACAATAGTTATGTAATGGAACTTGGTAACCTTCTAATATTTCTAAGACAGAGTGGGATCTGTATAAGAGCATCTCTTTGGGGGTGGTCAAAAAAATATAGTGGCTGTGACTGTGTGGTTAAACTGCCATCTTTTTTTACCCAATCACCACCTTGACTTCTTTAATTCTTCCTGCAGACACTCCTGGATCTGTACAAATGCACAGAAACATAAACAGTGAGAACAGAGAGCATGGTTTTGCCAAAAGGAGGGAAAAATATATAGTTGCTCAATGAATTAAAAATAAGGAATGGGACTATTCTGAATAATATCAGTAATATAATAATATAACGTCAGTAAAATATCTTGGCATTGCTTAGCGTACTATATTTTATTTATTTACCTATTCATGGTTTTATTTACATTGCCTCAAATGTAATTTAGGTTGGTAAGATTGCGTATACAATTCATTCATGCATGAATAAAAATCCAGACTGTTCACAATTTTCTGCTCGCCTTTGATAGGTCATGTCCCATTAATATTTGGGAATTATTAAGATCAGTGTAGCATTTTATGCTATCTGTGTGCAAAGAGTGAGGAGCTTACAATCTCAGAAAACAACAGGAAGGGGAGGGAAGTCCAAGTAGGGGCAACTAATAATTAAATGAGCTGTTGTTTCAGTTGCATGTGCTTTGATTTACAGATAAATTTAGTACTCATTCCAAGGAACTAGAGGATGGTGCCAAAACTTAGTGGAAATAGCAAGGGTTGAAAATGGATTTGAATCAATGTGATTATTGTACATGGAACCTGTATAAATTTTCAATTTCTAACTTCGTACTTTAAATACGGATACTTATCAGTAAAATGTCATTGCTGCATTCGTAAAGTAGAGGCAGGTTGACACCCATAGGCTGTGGTCTCATTTTATATCCAAACTTGCACCAACAAAATGTGATGTATTAATGTCACTGTTTGCCCAAGTAAATTTTATTGGAACAGAGAAGAATATATTTTATTTTTGTGCAAGTGTCAGGCTTGGAGATTGTTTCTTTGGCAGAAGCTGTCTACCACCACACATTTGTTGTTTAAATTAAAATGCCTTTTGGAACCCAGATAAGTGGGCTGTTCCATACCAATAATAAGGAATGGTTAAAAGCTGAAACTCTTTATTCATTGGTTTTTAAAAATTAGCCTGTTTTTCACTATTGAACAGAAATTCTAAAGAGGAGATTTGCTTTACAGTTAGAATTTACTCATATGGCACTTATCAGGTGTTTCAGATGTATTTATTTTATTGGGCTTATTGCTGTTACAATCTCTCAAGTTTTGCTTTTCTAGTTTAATTTTTAATTCTGTTAGTAAATAATGCTATCTAAAAAGATAAAGAGTAACACTACATAAAGATTAAAGATACCTGCAGGAGAGGGATCAATGGCAGCTTAATGCTATTGTAGTGCAAGTCCCACACCTTCATCACGGGTCTCATGACAACCTTTGTACCTATCAAACTTGCATCATGACAATATACCATTTTCATCATTTTGACAAAAGTTTTAAAATCTTTGGACAACTGGTAAATAAGAAACTACTCTCCATTTTAGTCGAGTTTAAAAATAGAACCATAAAAATTAATGAGGCAATTTAGTAATGCCTATCATATCCCCGTAGAATTAAATAAATTTACTCTGTGCTGTATTAGATTTGACTTCAATCTAATTGATGGGATTTTGAATACAAGTGAATAAGGTACAAGATGAGTTTCTATAGATTGCATTCATTTACTTACAATATGTTTTGCAAAGGTTTGCTATGCCTTAGTGCTGAATGATAATCTTGAAGATGATTCTGAAATCTATTACTTAGATTACACCGGATTAATATTTTCAGAGAGCAATGAATATGTGTGTGTCATTAACACAATCCCAAAAGATATTTTGTGCCAGACTTTCTGGAAATCATAGAATGTATTTCTTTATAATGCTTTCGTTTGTATTTTTATAAAAGCTACTGATTTTTATAAGATGCCATTTTATTGATTTTCATAAGATGCCATTTCATGGATGTGTGATCAATACTATATATAGACAATGAAGTCTCACTGTGCAGTTCCAAAAATTATTAGGGATAGTGTTAATATCTATAGTTTCTTTTCAGGACGTCGAAAATTTAGTCAATTAAGGAGTATCCTTAAATTCAAAACAGGTTCCACCAAATTAGATATCTGGCCCCAAAATGATGCGATTGTGCATACTTGGGCAGTATTTTTTTTTTCTTTAGAAAAATTGAAAGAAAATATTTGCAAAATTGTAACTGGCAACATTCAGATGCAAAATGTTCATTTAGTAGCATATAGTAAGACTTTTGGGGCAAATTAAATTTCAGTCTCCTGATTCCATTTTTATTATTTCCACGCTAAGCAATAATTCTGTAGGGTCTCAAACCTGTCTTTATTACAACAGGATTTTGATTAAACTCTGCAATATTCCTTTCATTATAATTTGGGGCATTGACTATGAGGAAATATTTTCAACTGTACCTTTGAAGTCCATAATATTTCATTTTTCCCTATTGAATGGAAGCAATTTAATGGTCTATAACACATTCTGAATTCAATTACTTTTGAATTTAAAATGTCGTGTTTTGTTTAGCTGCTCCAATCGTTTGGAGAGCATTTCAAGCTTATAACAGTTCAGTTCTGAGCTTAAAACACTTCCAAAATGATCAAAGCAGCCCATACTGAATACAAAATAATGTTCTTTAGCTCAAAGTAGGGAGCCGCTGTCTCAAACTACTTTGAATCTGAAAATATTTCCTACCCTTAGTTGCAATTATTCATACACATTGGAGAAACAAAATTCTTTTGAGTACATCTATGAGATGGGAATTGAATATGCCCCCTGTATTTAGGATGGTAACATTCATTATTCATATATTTGGAGATGAATCCCTATTACAGAAATGGTCCTATATTGAGATGTGCTTTAGAAAATTAAATATTTATTTATTTAAAATATTTATATCACCACTTATATTATATTATATAATATTATATTAAACACAACAGCCCTGGGTGGGTCACAACAATAAGGAATAAAAACATTACTATGTAAAAAAAGTATTTTAAAAAATGGCACTAGAAGATCTTCATTGAACTCCTATTGATAATCATAGTTATGGGATTTTTTTTTTTTTTTTTTGAGATGACCTACCTCACTGTCTTTGCCTCCTTTTACCAGAAATTTAATCAAAGCTTACAATTTCAAGAGAATTCTGGTCATTATCATTGTGGGGTAGAGGGTTCAGAGTTTAAATCATCCATTTTGTCCTATAACTATCTCCTTGCAATAAAAAAAATCTGAGTTATGTTGAATCTACGAAACTGCAATTTTTGCACTTTTTAAATATACTGTTATGAAGCCAAAGTTTCTCAAGAGCTCAGCAGAAAATATAACACATTCACAGCTGATCTTTTTCAAGTTTCGGTGATGTGAGAAAAAAAACCTCCAATGTACTTTTAGATTGCTTCTCTTAAAAGGAAATGAAAAATCAGAATTTTTAAAAGGATAGCTGCTCTTTTGAATGTTCAATATGAAGAGATGAACTTGAGGACCTTATGCAAAATACTTTTTTCATAGGATGAACCCCCTAATTATTACACTGTGGGACTATCCTGTTGATTTGCTGTCCAAATTTGATTGATTAGTATGAAAAATTATCTCCAAACCCATTTTCCAAATGTAATTTTTCATTCCCACTTCAGGTGTCGCTGTATATTGAGTATATAGATTTTTCTGCATTGACCTCATGTCTTGGGGAGGCATTTTTTAACTCTTAAGAGAACAGAGTAGTTTGAGGTCATGCTGAATATACCATAGACAAAAACCGATATACAGTAGCTTATGAAAATATTTATTTTGCAGAGCTCCTTTTGTATGTTAAATGTACAGCAGTGATTTTTCTCTCTGTTATACAGAGGAGCCCATATACTGTTACACACCACACAACTTCACCCGGGATCAAGCCTTGTATGCCAGAGGATACTGTTGGACAGAGCTAAGAGATGCATTGCCAGGTGTAAATGCCAGCCACTGGCCTTCCTTGTTTGAGCATAAATTTCTTCCATATGCCTTGCTGGCTTTTGCTGGCATTATGTACATTCCAGCCCTTGGGTGGGAATTCTTGGCTTCTACCAGACTGACTTCCGAACTTAACTTTTTGCTCCAGGAGATAGATAACTGCTATCATCGAGCAGCTGAAGGCCGTGCACCAAAAATCGAAAAACAAATCCAGTCAAAAGGTCCAGGGATAACAGAACGTGAAAGAAGAGAAATCATTGAGAATGCAGAGAAGGAAAAAAGCCCTGAGCAAAACCTGTTTGAAAAATATCTGGAGCGCAGAGGGCGTAGCAATTTCTTAGCCAAGCTTTACTTGGCAAGGCATCTCTTCATCATTTTTTTAAGCATCATCCCCATCACATACTTGTCCACCTATTATGCTACACAGAAACAAAATGAATTCACATGTGCTCTAGGAGAGCCTCCAGACAAAACAAGCAATTCCAAATTGCTCATACGGGTAAATTGCAAGCTGCCCTCTGTTCAGCTGCAACGCATAATCGCTGGAGTGGACATTGTCCTCCTTTGTTTCATGAACTTGATCATCCTCATCAATTTAATCCACCTTTTCATAGTCCGCAAGTCTAATTTCATATTTGACAAGCTGAACAAGGTTGGCATAAAGACCAAGAAACAGTGGCAGAAATCTCAGTTCTGTGATATTAATATCCTGGCCATGTTCTGCAATGAAAATCGTGATCACATCAAGTCTCTAAACCGCTTGGATTTCATTACCAATGAAAGCGATCTGATGTATGACAATGTTGTGCGTCAGTTGCTGGCGGCTCTAGCCCAGTCTAATCATGATGTTACCCCAACTGTACATGATTCTGGAATACAAACAATAGACCCCAGCATTAACCCTACAGACCTTGACCCTAATGAGCCACTAATTATCAAGCGTCCTCGGAAGAAAATGAAGTGGATCCCAAGTACCAATCCCCTTCCTCAGCCATTCAAGGAGCAGCTAGGTACCATGAAGGTTGAAAACAGCAAACCTGAGAAGCCAAAGCCAGTGCGTCGGAAGACAGCAGCCGATAGTCTGATTGCACCTTTGCTGGAGACCAACTCAAAACATACCCAACCATCCTCCATTCACAAAACTGAATCTAGTACTCTGTCCAGCACAGGTAATGAAAAGAAGCATACGCGTCACTTTTCCTTAGATGTTCAACCATATATATTGAGTAATAAGAAACCCAAGCAAGAAATTCCATCCAATACATCTATGGCAACATCCAAAAACCAAGAGAGTGGATTCTTAAACCAAGAAGACAAAGCCATAGTTCGTGTCACTTCTTCTCTCAAAGGTATGGAGATATATTTAGCTACTTTTTCCAATCGCAGTTGCAACTAACAAAATTGCTCCTTGTTTTGGAATGTTTGAAATGTGGTCGAAGTGATTGGGATTCCATTTTCCATCCTGTTGATATCTTGCATGATAGCTGTAGCCCAGGGGTAGGCAACCTTGGCTCTTTTATGACTTGTGGACTTCAACTCCCAGAATTCCTGAGCCACCATGGCTCAGCTTTGAAACCTCTCCCTTTTCCCTCAGCATGGCTAACTCAGGAATTCTAGGAGTTGAAGTCCACGCGTCATAAAAGAGCCAAGGTTGTCTACCCCTGCTGTAGCCTCTGCTGGAAATCATTCATCAGGCAGAGAGAGAGCACTGGAAAATGTGACTGATACAAACTGAAATATTGATCACATAGTATGGCAGCTACACGATTAATGGGATGTTTGTTAACCTGAAACTTAACAGCAAGAATCATGCTTTTAAGCTTCGAATGTATGAGCCATTTGTGAGCCTTTAATTTTTATAAGTATATTTCTAGCATTGGTGTGGTTCAGGAAAAAAAAAAAATACTTGTGACACTTAATCGGTGACTCAGTTCTGATTTCATTTTTTTCTCATAAAAATCTTTTTCATGAAATCTAAACTTCTTGGGAGCAGTTTCCTGCAATTTAAAACATCTGAATCTTAGAGTTGGAACAAAATCACAATAAATGTCAAATATTAACAAGGACTATTGGAGAGGGAGTGGAGTGGAGTGGAGTGGAGTGCAGTGGAGTGGAATAGAATAGAATAGAATAGAATAGAATAGAATAGAATAGAATAGAATAGAATAGAATAGAATAGCTTTATTTGGCCAAGTGCAATTAGACACACAAGGAATTTGTCTCTAGTGCAGAAGTTCTTAGTGTACATGCGAAGCAACAGGGTAATAATAATCATAATAATGAAACCAATAAGAGGGAGTAGTAGAGAAGATGAGAAGGACAATAATACTACAGCCATATAACATGGGTGAATATACTTAGACATAAGACAGTATTATGAGGATTAGGTGCTCAGCAGAATGATGGCACAAGGGTGCCCCTGTGTCTAGTTGTTTTGGTATGCAATGCCCTATAGCAGTGGTTCTCAACCTTTCTAATGCCGCGACCCCATAATACAGTTCCCCATGTTGTGGTGACCCCCAACCACTTATACATCACCGGGTGCCAGGGGCGTGGCCAAAGAAAAGGGGAAAAATGGCGGACAGCCTTGTTTGGCGACCCCCGTGAAATGGTCGTTCGACCCCAAATGGGGTCCCGACCCACAGGTTGAGAACCACTGCCCTATAGCAACATTCATAGGGGAGGAGTTGAGTATACTGAGAAGAACATCATAGGAACCTGGGTAAAGAAGAAATTTGATCTCTGGCTTCTATTGATATAATTTTCAGATAACTTGAATTATTATTGCTTGCGATATTTCCTCCTGTAGGATTTCAAAAAACACTACTCAAATATAGTGACGCTATATTGAATAGCCATATGAAATTTAAGAATAATGCATTACTTCCCTTAAACATCTTCTGAAGAGTGCACTGTACACACTTAAAGCAATTTGACACTGTAACAGTAATATAATTTTGAAACTTCCCTGAAGTTTTTGTCTTTATAGTTGAATCGCAGAATGTTAAGTAACCTCATTAGCTTCAATGAAGGTACTTTGGTAAGCAATCTATGCTGCCTTCTTATCTTAAAGTTTTGTTTTCTGTACTTTTTAAAATAATGCTACATCATTTATTTTAACAGTTTGACTATGACTGTTTCATATCATTGATTATGATATCACAATTTCTCATGTATTAAATATTTACTCTTCTGAGTTTTTTTTTTAAATATAGTCCAGCATTCACAGGTTTCTCACTACTTTGAAAAATGCAGTGTTTTCTAAAAAAAATCTTGAATCACGCTATAAACTTTAACACAATCATTCAAATGAAAGTCAATTTTCCTGAAGAGCTATCTTTTGCTGTTAAAAATCTGGAATAACTTGTACAATAACCTTGTACAAGTAACATTACCTACAAATAGTAAGGAGTGTCATCATCTGGATGCCTTCAAAATAAAGGATTTTTCAGGAGCCATTCAGGTCAGATAATGGGGGCCTCTGCTGATGTTCTGAATTAGCAAATATTTTCATGGGCTTATAATATTTATCACTTTCAATACCTTGGTCTTCCTTCTCCAGACGCCTTGGAGAATTCTGCATATTTATTTTCCATGGAATATCTTGGTCATTACTTTTATAACGGAGTAGTATTACCCAAACAGCTTTCTAGAATTTTTTGTCTTCTTTTCTGCCCTAACCCTAACCTTTCCTGCTATCTATTCAGCACCTATTCCCACATTGACTTCTTAATTAAACATGCATTTCTATCCTTCCATCTTTATTTAGAAGTGCTCAGATCAAGACAGCCATAATTACCACACAACCAGAATTACAGAGATTATTTTCTTGCCATGGAGAACAATTTGAAAATGTCTTTGTTTTGCTTCCCTGTTGTGTCAATTGTTAGCTGGATTTCCATGGTTTTTCCTTTTCCAAAATGCAATAGAAAGTAGCCAATTCCAGGAAACACAGAAGAAAGATGACACAGAGTTTATTTGTCCTCCTAATCCAAAAAAGTTAAAGATCAGTGAGCATTAACACATAAAGATACGAAGGAAGCTTTCTAAGGGGATGGTAGCAACCAGTGAGCATTAAAGAGAGCTAACTCTTTAAAAAGATTATGTGTCATGCAGCCAGTGAGTCATATGGAAAGATGTAGCATCCTACAAGTCAACCAGCCATGACACAGTCTATCATCAATGAAAAGACTGTGCTTTTTAGAATGAAACTGCACTCACAAAAAATGAATCCATGAAATTTTCCAGAATTTATTCCATTTCTATAAGAAGGGAACAAACTCATTCATGAATGCCAGTAAAGATGTGGTAGGACTTCTATGAGGGACAAGATGGACAAGGTGATCATAAGTATGTCTTTATATTAAATAGGCAGGGAATTCTGTAATTGTAATGAAACTGCAATTTCAGCATATATACTAATAAATAGTAATCCTCCAGCAGATCTAGAGAGAATATCTTTTCCGAAGGTGGTATTTGAGGTGTACGTGTGTGTGGAAGTGATTTTTCTTCCCAATACAAATACCAGCTTTGGAGAAAGGATTTTTCCTTAGAGTTCCTTTTTTCTTTCTATCTATCATGATCCTGATGAAGATCATGAAAAAAAACTCTCCAGAATCGGTCCAAGGCTCATCTTTGTCCTTCGTATTTTTTTTCCTCATATTCAGTATTCAGATCCTTCTGGGTGGCTCTCAAGCAGGAAACATAGCTATTTAACAGCATGGATTCCCAATTTCAAGATATGCTATATCTTCTAGACTTATAGACCATCACCCTTTCTAATGATAATGAATTATATAAATTAATTAGAGCTGGGCTGCAGGAAAATATGTTTTGTCTAAATTTTCTAAATTTTCTTTCAGTTAAGGTCACTAGTTGCCTACGAGCTTTATTTTACTAGGAGAAAAATATCTCTTAATTCACTTTTTCCATAGCAATAATGATTTTAGACATTTTAATCCTATACTCCCTCAATCACCATTTCTTCAAGCTAAAAAGTCCCAAACGTCCTAATTTTTTTTCTCATTTTGAAGGTGTTGAGACCTATTATAATGTTGGTTTTTCTTTTTTCTGGGTTAATTATTTTCTTGTTCAAACCCAGGGACCTAAATGTACACAGTATTCCAAGTGCAAATGTACCATGTATATGTATAATGGATTACAGTATTGTAATTTTTATTTTTCTGATTATTTCTAACCTGACCTTTGTCTTTTTCAAAGCTATTGCATATCGAATCATCATCTTTATAGATATGTCCATTATGACTCCAAGTTCATTTTCAAGTTTAGTTCAGATAGGTTAGATGACATCAGTGCATAATTAACTGTGCATCACTTATGTGCATGATCTTACTCTTGCATCAATTGATCATACTTGCCATTCAATTCTCCATTTGTCATGCCTATTTACAGACCTCTTCAAAATTATTTTTGATTTTTATCATCCTAAATAGTACTGTATGCAAAATACCTAGGCTAACTTGGTAGAAGCTAAATCAAGAGCAGGTGATTCTGAGCAGAAATATCTGTTGTGACAATAACCAATAACTGCCCAACTTCAAGGACACGAAGCTGAAAGCAAAGAGTCCATTAAGAAGCAAACATATTTAAACTGTCTGGGGTGTAAAAGTGAAACTTTGCCCACTCTCATGCTAAGTGAGAGCAATTAACACATAAATATGGCTTCACTGTGGCTTGCAATAAAGATACTTATTTAGTCATGCCATGCATCTTAAAATTCAAATATTCATTTCTTAACAGGATCACCTCCACCTTCTATAGCATCTTTATAGTCTCAAAAACATGAAAGGTTTGGAGAAACCTCCATGTTTTCTTTCTATAAGCTTGTTAGGTTTTTCCCCCGTTTGGTTACCTTTTTTAATCAATTTCCATTGAACACATTCTAAGCTGACTGTCCTGTAGCTTCCAGGATTTACCCTTTGGACCCCCTTTTAAAAATTGTTGTTCAAGTTTGAGCCTGATTTGAGGGCTAATTACATATTTTTCTAGAAGGTCAGAAATTTCAATTTTGAGTTAAGATATTTTGGGATTAATTTTGATCCCTCTCTAATCGGGATTGTATAAAACTTACATAATAAGTACAAAATCACATTTAAAGCTATGTATAGTGAGGCCTTGAGTAAAAAATATAATAATTGTAGTTTAAAAAAAAATATGGTATGCATTTTAAATGCATATTACAACCAATAGTCCTAAGACATATACTGGGCTGAGAGAGAATGCCTTCCCAAAGTCACCTAATGAGCTTCCATGACTGAAGATAGAGTAAAACCTGATTGCCATTCCTAGTTCAAAACTTACACTGCTATACTACGGTGGCTCTCTTCTAAAATAAGCCCCTTTTGAAACAGAACTTGGAGGGAAGAAAGACATCCACATTCAGGCCTTTCCTTATCCTCCAACCTCACTAAATGCCTTTGCTCTCATCCAATTTAGCAAGATGAATTGCTGTTGTGGAAATAAAATGAAGAGACCGCATATAATCATTTTTTTTCAATTTGGAAAAAAGATGTCAATTCATTAACTAAATAAGTGTTTTGCTTCTCTTTCAGATTCTTCCCTTCCTGGAAAAGAGTCCCTTTATTCCCGTGATACCTGCAGGACAGTGCCTGCAACAGGGGTTTTTCTCACCTGTACCCATAACCATATAGCAACAAAAGTCTCTCTACCCCAGACTACTGAGGTAGAATCAGGGCCTGTCCTGAATTGCAACCCTGTGCATCCACTTCTGCACATCAATACGCTATATGAAGATCATGAAGAAGAGGGCTCAAACCTTATAGATGATTCTTTAGACAATAGAATTCACTCTCCATCAGAAAACGGAGACATCATTTCTATGCCTTCCACAAAACAAATCATGTTGGCAACTTTTGATGAGCCCTTGGCAATAGTGAATTCGGTAGAATATTGATGCACAATCCAGAACTGCTGTTAATCAAACCTTGAACCTGATGTTCCACCCACAGCAGTACGAACCTTATTCTCCCACAAACTACTGCATGAGCATGGAGTGCTGAAATACAGACCACAGGTTACTCCACATCGGTTATTCAGGGTAGTGTCTTGGCTAATGTCAATAGCTTGCAAAATATGACAATAATAATAAGCCAAACAAATTATTCTATGCTTGGAAACACATGCAATAAAGCACAAGAAATATTAGCTGTACCTTCAAGAAATCACTTTGGATTACTACAACTATCCAAAATGTTTGAAGTGCTTAAATGCATGTCACACCGTGTTTCTCAAAGCACATACCGCCTTGAAATTCCAGCTCACTATATAAAGTAGCAACAGACGTAAATGTGTAGGATATTTATTCTTCCCTTTTAAAAACAATGCAGCTGTAAAATTGTGCTTTGTCTCCCTAAGATTTTTTTTAAAAAATAATTTTTTAAATAATGAAATTGTGTTTCACGGGTATCCATGGCTCCCTCCCATCGCTGACATTAGTATAAAGAAGAAATCAGGAGCTGGACCTTAATCATTACTATGTTTTTATGTGCCAAGAGATGATGAAAATTAAGAGTTTATTTTTTTATCACCTATTTTATTGTGAATGAGAGTTTTTGAATCAGATACTATCTTTCCAGAGTGTGGGAAGAGGGTTGCCTATTGCTGCATATTTTTGTCAATTGAGTGAGGTTTATAAAACCAGGTTAAAAATTTTCTATAATAAAGCTTTACAGATGTGAAGAATATTCAAATAGTGCTGCTAAAATATTACAAATAAGTTAATTTGCAATGATACAGAATTTTAGAAGTTGGATACTTAAATCTTTTTTAGGACTTGCCTTCACTACAGCATAACACAAGCAAATACAGGCTTTTGATACATCTAGCATGTTATGATTTATTCCAATGGTTGCTTCTTGGAATCCTGTTAAAAAAAGCTGGCTCAAACATGCAAAAGAATGATGTAGTACAAACGAAAGCATTTTTTCTAGGAAAATTAATGCAATCAATGAAGTGACCTTTCAGAAGTTCCTTCAGATATCTGCCATTTTTTTTTAAATTGTCTGCCCCATTGTCCCCAAAATAAGGTAAGGATGAAGTAGCATGGAAGTTGCAAAGTTGAGGCCACTTTACTGCCACTGTGGTTAGTGAGCTTCATCCAAGAAGGTATGGAGAAATTTCTCCTTCCACTTGAGAAATTTTGTCCATGATAGAAGTTCAGGTGGCTGAATGTGTAAGTTCTAGGCAGGCTTTACATGATACATAAGGATTTGTTTTAGAATAATTCCCCTTTTATTAAAAGACTTCCTATATGAAATTTAATAGAAGTCTATTAATTCAGTTCTTACCCTGAAAAGCCAGAGGCTGATAGGAAGTATAAGATTGCTTTGTGTATAAATTCTAATCAATTTTTGACATTATTAACTGAGATTCAAATTTATAATTGTTATGGATCCATGTAAATTAAGTTCATCCTGGAATTAGATAATGAAATTAACTACTCAAATTCGCAAGTCTGAGTTGACAGTAACTTCTAGATTTACAAACTGGTCACCATATCAAGAAGAGCTGCCAGTTTAATGGAGTGTGATACAAGCCTGCCCCAAGATATTTGAAATGTATCAAATGTTTGAAAATGCATCTATTGTTGTTTGAAATGCTTTTTGCAAATATCTACCATTGCTATCTTCCCATCTCCTAGCTGTTTAGCATCCTTCAAAAAGCAATTTTTTTGCTTCTCTTCCCATCTTCCCAAACGGGATCTGCATTTCCTTTAAAAGTGCTCAAGGGAAGACCCATTAGCAGTTAAAATGATGTATTTCAAAAAGGAAGAAAATATTAGCTAAGGGCTACAGATATTCAGGGGAGTTCTCAACAGGAGGTAGAACAAAAGTGGGCTTTAAATAGAAGACCTCCTAACTTACCTGTATTGGTTTTTGATTGGACCTTTCATAAGCCAGTCATCATCCAGTAGTACCTCTTAAGGGGGGAAGGATTGGTATCAATAGAAATCAAGATAAAGGTTGCATAACACAATTGAAATCCCACTCCTTTGGAATACAAATTGACATTGCATATATATAAGGGCAAGGCTTCATTCCTGCTTTTGCAACTGCCATTTTGACTTTTTTTTAACTCCTCCCAGATGCCTTTGGTAAGAGCCCATTCCAAGCAAAAATGGAAGAAAAGACAATCCAGCTCAATAACTACCACAAACACAATTTGGGTGTTATCTCCATATGATTCTATTCTTCCTTTTTTCTCCAGTATAGGTATTACAGGTCAGCTTCTGATTAAGCAGTTTCCACTAAGCACATGCCTGTGTTAAGCTGTCAGATGGTGAAGTCTAATGTAGCAGATTACTTTATGATTTCCTGAGCTTTAAACATAGGTGTAGCATTTAAAGCTAAAACCACAAACTTGTGCACGATCAAAACTCAGTTTTAACAGTGTATATTTTAAAGATGAAACAACATACCTACCAGCACTTTCCTATTTCAGACCGTACATTAAAGAGATGAGAATGTAGTAAGCATTGTTTTCATACAATGTTTACCTTGCTTGGCCTAAAGTGCATCCTTATGGCATATTTCTTCCTATGATGTGATGTTCTTAAGAATAGTGTGATTTTCAAAAAGCACATTGGAAAAACTAGTACGCAATAACCATTCTTTATCAGTTTTCAGCAAAAGAGAAGTTTTTAATACTATTGAAGTGACATGGAAGGAAATATGACATTTCTGTTTGATGGTTATGAAACAATGCTGCATAAATTTATAGGTTTAGATTCTTGATTGTTAGTTTATTTTACCTCAGTATGATACAGTATTTATTGAAAATAGCACTGAAAGCAAATAAATATTCTCAATACAATTCATGTTTACTGTTCTATATTCAAAATGGTAGCTAGCTTTTATAAATAATATATACAATAGTACTTATATAGTACTGTTAGCAGATCTGAAGAACCAGGTTAGGGACAAATTGCCATAGAGAAAATCTATGTGATTACGAAGAGTGAACAATTTGATGGCACACAATCAAATATTTAAAACCCCTATATATTAATTAGTAGTGTGGGAAGAATCCAGAGAAAGAAATATTTTGGGAAATATTAAAAAGGCAGAATATATTTCTCCAAAGGAATAATGAAGAAGATCTTTTTAAAAAGACAGAAACTTCTCCCAGTTTTTAGAAATGCAGATGTAATAATCCATTCAGGAAGGTTGGAGCCAGGAAGCTAGAAGCTGATGAGATTAGGAAGACAAAGACCCCTAAAATCTATATACCCCACCCAAATTCTAAAAGACATGACCTTTGGGGACATAATAGGATTAACCCACCACTACTGAAAGGGCACACTCAGACTTAGGTCAAAGTACATGACACAGGAAATACAAAACCTCAAACAGGAATAGGAAACAACTTCAAAAGCCCAAGAAGGTATAAAAACCTACTACTCCCATCTACATGTGGTCAGTTTTTTCCAGAGCCATCTTTCTGTCTGGCTCGCCTCTTCAATAAACTGCAACCTTCTTTCTAAAGCAGTCTCCATTTTGTAATTCCTGGCTTGGACTGAACCCTGATGATGATTTTTCTTTCAACATTAGTATAGTTTATTACAAATGGTGGTGGGCATGATGCAAAAATGATTTTAAAATTCCCACAAAAGTTGATCTGGAGAATATGGCATCCTTAATTCATTCCTTGAGCTTCAAAACATATATCTCTTAGAAAGTTTTAACATAGTTTCTGAAAAGCAAATTCAAAATACTGTGCAATATTCTCTGCCAAATTCCAGTGAAATTATTTAAAGGATTAACCAGAAAATCAAACAATTAAGATATGCACCACTGCAGGTAAGAATGAAAACCATCCAGGCATTGATTGTGTGCTATAATGCAGAAAAGTTAAATCCTATTTATATATTGCTAAGTATCCTCTAGAGCAAAGCTTTTTCAACCAGTGGTACGGGTACCACCTGTGGTACATTGGCACCTGGCAGGTGGTACACGATCATCCTAGAAAAGTGGTAGTGGGGGAGGAGAATGAGCTGAACCAGTGGCAGCACCGCACAAGCCTGAGCGAGAGATGGCTGGAGCTGCAGGGCTGTCAGGGCTCAGTGGAAGCGCCAGGATCAGCGCTGAGCTTCAGCTGGAGCTCGGCACTGATCCTGAAGCTTCTGCTGAGCCCAGAAGAAGCACTGATCAACTGGAAAGCAGCACTGATCCTGGCACTTCTGCTGAATCCAAAAGAAGCGCTGATCAGCTGGAATGTTGCAGCATCTCCAGGGTCTTATGATTTACATTCAGATGCTTGGCAACTGATTCATATTTATGATGGTCACAATGTCCCAGGGTCATGTGAAGTGACCAAAACCTGCTGCAACCACCCAGCACATGGGGGGGAATAAAAACCAAACACCCACCCCACCCTACCCCCGCTGCCAATCCTCAACAGAAATGCTCACAACAATGAAAACCTCGGACAGGAGGAAGAGCGCGGCCGGGCGGGCAGGCAGGTATCTTGCTCAGCTGTGGCTTGGGGGGCACTTTTTCAGTGCCATTGTAACTTCGAATAGTCACTAAGCAAACTGTTATAAGTTGAGGACTACCTGTACTTCATTACTTTTTTCTTTTCCTTTTTTTTAATAATCAAATTTTTGACACCTTGCTAGGTGACTGGTGGTACTCGGATATTGCCATATCCTAAAAGTGGTACAATGGGTGAAAAGGTTGAAAAGCCCTGCTCTAGAGCATGGGTGTCAAACTTGCAACATCACGTGACATGTTGTGACATATCGTGACTTTTTTCCCATTGCCGGCAATGGGGTGGGCGCAGTTTTGGCGTGAAAATACCTCTGCTCTGATATCTAGAAAGTTATCTCCTGAAATACTCAAACATTGGTCCTTGAGCAGCCCCAGAAATTGTTTCCTAATGCTATACTTCACATCAAGAACAAACATGCCTGTTTCCACATTTTTCTTGTATTTGTGTTCTTTTTCAATAAAACTGTCCTCTACATGTTTCAGAGCTCTAGGGGAAGTCCTAAACATTTTTGGAATCTCCATGCAAGAAAAAGAGACAATTGCATAAAAATATTCTGAGGTAAATTCACCTCAGTAGAAAGTCATGCAACAGAATTCATTACTTGAATAAAAGTCTTATTCACTCATGACTTGAAAAGCTGTCATCCTTGCCTCAATTTCAAAATCTGAGGGATGGACCCCACAATGATATGCTTTTGTTGGTGGACTGCCATATAGTTAGGAGGGCTTAAGGTAGCAAATGGTGTGGAGGCTAAGTTGGGGAAACCTGCTGTTAGACCACTTGCTCAATTTTCCCTGCATTCTCAAGTTATTCTGTGGTATTCAAATGTAATAGAGTATATGTTGAAGTAAGATTCAATTGCTATTGCCTTAGCTTCTGTAGGTGAAAGAGAAGGTGAGGGTTGTTAACCTTTTCCCTTAAGACAGCTGGTATTTGGATCAGCTTTAGCATGTGCCTGATTGTTACGTTTCTAATACTATATAAAACAGTTAAAATTGGAACGACTTGGAGTATCTGAGTGCATACCATAAATTCAGGCTATATATTTTTATTGTTGGAATCAACAGCAAAATTCCTCTTGATTTTAATATATTAAGAAATCTGTCAAAATCTATAAATCAACATATTTGAAAAGTAATTATGAAGTCATTTTCATTAAATAATGGAAAGTATGAGACCCAGGAAGTGTGCCTTCATTTGTCATGGTATTTTTCCAATGGGATACTATACCATCTCCTCTAACTTGATTTCCAATAGCCCCAACCATGCTAACCTTTCTGTTATTATATATTGGTTGAATTGATCCAACTAAATTGGGTCTCATCAAGATACAAAAAGAAAGCCTTCTTTTACAAATATTATCTTATTTACCAAATATAGTAACTTCTCAGGGCATGCAAAATTGCAATAATAATATTTAGCCCAACAGCCAGTTTTATTGCAATAGCTAATAAACAAGAGTTAACTGGAATTGAAGTTCTATTAAATTCAACCAATTACATCAGACAAACTGTTCTTGGATCCCTCTGGTGGCTAAACTGATTTTTTTTTTTTTTAACAGAGCACTTTTAAAAATAAACCATTCACCTTATTCTACATAACTTGGGAACATAAAATATAATTGTCATAGAATGCTCTTATCTATTTTTAGTTCTTGACTGTTTCCCATTCTCACCAGAAGGAAAGCATCAGCAACTAAGCATCACTTTCTTTAGAAATTTAGAATAATTATAGCTTAAATATAGATGGTTCTATATTTATTCTAGCCTTAAGTTTGTAAGTATATTTGATCTTAGAAAAATAAATGTTTAGATAAGTCATACATGGTATACCTACGCATGTGTCTTCTAGATCCTTAACATAGTGTAATATGTCAACTTAAATGCGATCCGAATGCCTCCCACCCTGATAGCATTTTGGAAAGCCTGGAAAACCACTTGGCTGTTTTCCCAGGGTTAGGGCAGGGGTGTCAAATTGCCAGCCTGCTGACCAGAAGCGTCACAACGAAACTGCACCCACCCCATTGCCAGCAATGGGGGAAAAGCTCCGATACATTGTGCGACATCACATGACGTCGCAAGTTTGACATGTCTGGGATAGGGCGACTGCAGGCCCTACTAGATTCTGTGGGACATTTTGGACTGACTCCTGGATTCACCATTCCATTCTTTTTCTTCCTTTTTAATTTGGTTTTGGTTGTATCTCAGTTCTTATTATGTTGTTTTCATTCTCCTTAGTGTAGTGGGAGCCAATCAGACTCACTCTGGATTCAGGTAGCTGCAAATCAAATCAACAAACAAATACTCAAGTGTAATCTGCTGGAGGAAGCTAGACTAATTAGGCCCAGTTGAATCAAAGTTGGCTGGTATTTAAGGAGTAGCCTGTCTTGAGAAAGATCATTAATACAATATTAGTAAAGTAATGGTGACCTTTTTGCCCTCAGAGTGTCAAAAATTCAGAAAATGCTTAGTTGACTCTGCTGGTGTATCTTTCACTCACTCGTGCACATATATACACACACATACACACAGACATGAGAAACAATTATCTCTCTCAGTGCCACCCCCACCCCCAATCTAGGTGACCCTGAACAGCAGCCCTCAGCAGCCGCCCTAAGGCTACACTTGAAGCAGAGGCCCAGGCCTCAACTACAGTTCTAGTGCCACCACCGCCACTCAAAAAGGCCTCCTTGCACTGTTGCCCAAGGAGGGATAGCCTTGGGGATTGGTGCAATTGCCCTGCCCCCCCCCCGGGCCAGCATTCCACAGCATCTGCCATGCAGCACTTACTTCAGATGGTTTTCTCTTTCAAGCCACTGCAGCCTCCCTGAGCCTGGTCCCAGTCGCACAAAGCCTTCATTCTTGAAGCAGCTTCTGAGAAGACTCTTCCACAGCCTTTGTATCCTCTGAACAATGTGTGGTAATGGAGCGTGCTTTTGAGAATAATTGTTGCCAAGTGTTGGTAAACATTGGCGCATCACCCAAAACATCATGGCATCGTTGTGTCATAGGTTCACCATCACAAGTATAGTCTATGAATTTTCCTCTGAAAATTGTTTGCCTTGAGTTTGCCTATATGTGTATGATACATGATTAGATTCACAACTTCAAGATAAGCCCAAATATATTTAAGATACAGAATGAATGCAGTCATTCATATGACCTGGATATCATATAGCACAGTGGATATTTCCTGAGACATCATATTAAATGACAGCCAGAATTCTCCAACCCCTAGGAATAGCAATAACCCACAAACCCACAGCCACACTCTGCCAGGAAATATTCAGAACCAAAGACAAGAT